GCAGTGGATGCGGGACTGCTGCCCCGCGCCGATCCCGATCACCTGCAGCACAGCACAGCCTTCAGAGCTCCCCCAGTTCAGCTGCTCTCACCCAGCCAGGGAAGGGGTGGGTGAGGAGTGGGGGAATGCCTGCATTCCTGATCCTGTGAATTGGTTACAGGGCCAGCTGTCTGCACTGACTTGTACAGCTCTTTGGAGCTGACAGTCACCCTCAAACACTGATGTGCTTTCACCCTTCTAAATAACACAGCTCCGGCCATCAAAGCTTTGACCTCAGGAGACTGACACTGCCTCTTCTGGTCAGTGTTAATGCCTGAGCCCAGGTCACACACATCCCAACATCTCTCTGCTTAGACACACAGCTTAACCACATCAGCTGAGAGGTGCAGTGATGAGGGACAGTTTGTCTGGCTGCTAAGGCAGTAAACCCACTGCTCACTCAGGAATGCTGGTCAGTGGCACTGTTACATCCATGGATTCTCTACCACACATCTCCTGTGCTGCCATCTGCCAGAATCCAGGCTTTCTGAAATGGCTGCTGCTAACCCCATTTAACAGCACTTGTGCTTGATCTCTAGCAGATAAGCAAAATCCACACAGTGGTTTTATCTCAAGGAAGCTGCTATGAAAATACAGCACTGGCTCAGCTCCTGCAGCCAGACCCAGCCACCAGGGATGTCAGACTTGGGCTGGAAACTTCTGTCCATCCTGTGGGTCCTATGGAGAACTGCTGCCATTCCAGTCTGGAGATCTCACAGGAAACAAGTCTCTCCCATCATTTCCTGCTCAGCCACAGCTGAGCTGTTCCCCAGACTGTTCTCCAGAGACATGATGCTTGAGGTGCTGGCCAGTGCCTCAGAGCTCCCAGCTCAGCCTGGGACAGATGGTAAAGCCATAAGCTGCAGGCTGCCCTCAAAGGAATGACTCACTTGTCTTCCCATTCATCAAGACACGGTGACTTCACCTCTTACCAGAAGCATAAAACATTCTGCTGGATCCTGTTCCCCCAAGGAGCAAATGAAAGGTTTGGGAAGCTTGGGCTGCTATCAGATATAATCTGCTCAGCCATAACTGAAGTCACCAGTGTGTAATAAACCACAGGGATATTGCTGGTACCACAAACACTGGACAGACACAAAGTTTCTTACAGTGCAGTGGCACCTTGCCCCTGACAAACACTGCTGATGTCCAGCCTCTGCTCTCAACCCACCCCCTTCCACTTCCAAGGGAGCCTGGACCCAGAGAAGCTGGGGCCAAAATCCCATGGAACATCCCCAGGTTTCTAATGCTTGGGATGTCCTGTGTCCTTTCCCAGCCAGAATGGTGTCTCAGTCTCCATCAAGTCCTTGTGAGCTGTGCCTGGCACTCCTGTGATGGAATAAGCAGGAATAACTCCTGCTACCTGTCAGCATCCCAGAACCTTTCTAAAAAAGCCTTTTCCTTTCCTCTGTGAGCCACTCAAAATATTTCACTTTTTCTGTGACCTAAATTTTATCAAGAGATCAGTAACTAAATTTTGGCTTGTATTCAACAACTCCAAAATGGCAGGGACTTTGTACTTCAGCTGATGAAAGGGATGCAGCCTGTAAATTCCTCACAAGCATCCCCACATCTGCAGAGGTTTATCTGTAACACTGGTTCAAGCCATTGTTTTGCCTTTTTTAAAAGCACAGGTTTTGATGGAACATTTCTGGGGAAGATTTCCTCAATCCAGCCTGGAATTTCTGGTCTAAAGAAGGGAAATCAGGAGGTTTTAGCTTTTCTGCTTGATAACACAACCTTGAGACTTGTACCTGCATCTCCCCTCACACTGGCCTGTACCAATTCCCTGCCTTTTTCACTTTATAAAATCCTTTTTCCTACACCTCATCACTCTCTGCCCCACGTGGTGCCCTTCCCCCCCACAAAAACACAGCCAAAAGCTCAAAATCCTCCACTAAGGAGCCATTCCCCCCCTTTGCTACACAAAAATTAATTATGTTTCTTTCAGAGCCTAATCTCCTGGGGATCCAAAAGTGCTTAAGCAGAGCCTATGAAGTGTGAGCAGTGAAAGGAGACAGCAGCACAGGGTGAGTAGAAAAAAAAAAATAATCTATCACTTAATAGAAAAAAGACTGGGTGAAAATTAAGAATTACTTGACTAGAAACACTTTGGTTCACAGGAGAGTCAAACACACTCCATAGCTGGAATGCTGTGCAATAGCACAGAGTGGATGAGATGGATAATGCCCAAAGGATTCTTGCAAAATGATCCAGACTGCTCTGGGTTTACTCAGATCTACCCTGGCTAATGAATGAAAACAAAAACCCTAAAGACACCTGGAAATATAAAAATCTAATAAAGGACTTGACCATTGGGAAGACAAACAAAACAGGGAAGTCACTGGGAAAGCATAAGGTAAATTAACAGGTTTGTTTTATGCTAGTGTACAGAGAATAAAGGAAGAATAATTTTAAATTGCTAATTTAAAACATGATGGTGTCATTAAAGTGAGTGTAAATCAACGTGCTACAAGCTGAAAGGCAGCCAGAACAAGTGCAAGTGTTTATTGCAATTAGTGGCAGCTGGCTTCCTGCAAATGAAGTGACACTCAGCTCCAGGAATGCTTCCCACTCCACACTGCTGGAATGTACTAACACAGCTACCTTGCTGGAGGGGCTGATGTCTCACACACCAGAGCTTTCCATGGCATCCCCGTTTCTTAGGGATGCTGTGAGGCTGAAATACCAAAAAAAAAACCCACCATTGCATGATTGCTAGATCCTGGAAAACCAAAACCAATGAGACTGAAAGCAAGCTGGACTTGCCAGGTGTAGCCCAAACCAGATCAGATCCTGGAGGAGCAGATGAAGAGCAGCAATGTGGAAGGTGAAATGTGGGCATTTTCCACATGAAAATCTGCAAGCCCACTCTGCAGCCCAGCCAGCTGAATCCCTGCCTGCCCAGGGATTCCCTGTCCCTGCTCCCTTCCACATGGCACATCCATTACCACACACCCTCTGCAAGCAGCTGCAGCACCAGGCTTGCAAAAGCACTGGGGAAACTGGAAATTGCTGCTGTGATGAGGGGAAAGGAGCAAAGCCAGGGACACCTTTGTTCTGGGGCTATGGGATCTAACACTACTGAGTGCAGAGAATATTTGGAAAGCAAAAAAAGAAACCCAACATAAAGCAGAATAAAAGACAAATGCTGGATCTCCAGAGACATCTTGTGAGGAACCACAGAGCACAGGACCAGCACTGCAGCTCAGTCTCTACCTGTAAGCTTCACTCTTTGATCCATTTTGCTGATTTATGATGTACCAAAGCTCAAAAGCCTTCTGTGTATTTTTCTTCTGTACTAATCCAGGCCTACTGAAAACCTTCCATGGAGAGCAAAGAGCCAACTAAACAGCACCTTTACAAGAATGATCTGCTGGGTAACAATACAACTTTCAATACCTTTACACCAATTTTTAGATAAATTATTTAGGCTGAACACCTGGTGATGGCTTGGAAAGAACTGACTTTTTTTTTAAATTCAAGATTCAAACTGAAAAAGGAGAAGTTTAGGTTAGATATTAGAAAGAAATTCTTCCCTGTGAGGGTGGTGAGGCCCTGGCACAGGCTGACCAGAGAAGCTGAGGCTGCCCCATCCCTGGAATTGTTCCAGGCCAGGCTGGACAAGGCTTGGAGCAACCTGGGATAGAGGAAGGTGTCCCTGCCCATGGCAGGGGTGGAATGGGATGAGCTTTAAGGTCCTTTCTAGGCCAAAACCACTGTGTGACCATATGATTCATAATCTCAATTACACATTTGATAATGCCTCTATAAATTCCAACATCCATCATCAGCTTTTTAAAAAAATACAATCAGAGAAAACAGAAGATTTTTGTTATCCCAGAGGGATGAGAAGAAGAAAGCATATCCCATCTTCCTAAGGAAAAAAGTGAAAACAAAGAAGCATTTGGGCAGTCAGAATCCAGCTGAGAAACCTGCTGTAATTTCCTAAGGGTTCTACATGAGAAAAATGATGTGAAAGAACAGAGTAGCCAGAAAGAAATGACTCAAGGCCACAGTGCAGAAGCATGTAAGAACTTTTCCAACCCCACCAACGAAAGAGCCAGCCCTGCCACGACCATGAAAAAACAGCAGCAAGGTTTTGAAGCAGCCTCTTGAGAAGCAGCTGCTCTGCACAGGGCAGCTCCTCTGGCCCTGCCCAGGTGCAGGAGGGTTTTCCTGGGAGCAGGGGGTGGGGAAGCTGCAGCTCCTACCTGGCCATCCTTGGCGTAGCACACCGAGTTGGACTGCGTGTACTTGACAGCGATGCTGGCCACGATCAGGTCCCGCACGGCGGCCTCGGGCAGCTGGAACAGAGCACCCCTGTCAGCACCCCCTGACAGCCCTGCTGCACCCACACCCAGGGAAAACAAGGAGCTGGGAACACCCTGATGTGCTCAATTACCAGCTAGTTTTGTTTGCATTAAAGCCCATTAATGACTGGTCTTCCAACTCTCAGGGTAAGACTCAATCTCAGTGGGTTCCATCACTGTCGCTGACATATCTTATGAAAAATCTTTTCATTAAGATCTTTTCTCTTGAGAAGCTGAGAAGCTTCAGCTTCTCCATGTTTTGCTGCTTTGGAATGAGATTTAAAGAACTGTTTACCTATCATGTGAAATTGTTTTTACTTGATGACCAATGACAGCCACATGTGTCAAGGCTGTGAGCAGTCACAAGATTTTATTATCATTCTATTCTTTCTATTCTTTTCAAGCCTTCTGATTAAATTCTTTCTTCTATTTCTTTAATATAGTTTTAATATATCATTTTCTTTTATTATAATATATATCATAAAATTATAAATCAACCTTCTGAAACATGGAGTCAAGATTCTCATCTCTTCCCTCATCCTGAGACCCCTGCAAACACCACCACACATCACTGGCCTTCAGCCTGAAAACCCCTCTGCGTTCACTGTCATCAGATGTGCTCACAGGCAAAAACCAGGACCACAACAATTAGAGCAGCTCCCAAAATCTGTATTATTTTTAAGTTTTCCATTCCTAATTTAGAAAAGCGATTTTTATTACCTCAATATCTGAATTCACTTCTGAGCCCATGACTCATTGTGTGCTCATTAATGTCTGATCTCATTCTCATTAAAAAAACAGAGACAAAGAAATCACTGAGAACTTTATGGTGATGTGGGCTCTAATTGCTGAGCAATAGCAGCCAGGCCAGAGTTTATACAACACCATGCACACAAAAGGGTGAGGTAAACAATGAGTCAGGAGCTGTGATGGATCTTTAGCACATGGCTGTCTCACCATAAAAAAATTGCACATGGTAGCTTCTTGTTTACAAAGAGCATTTACAAATATTGTGGTAGCCTGAGATAATGGGAAAGCTCCAGCTCCTCTTATTTATCCAAGGAATCAAAACAAAGGAAAGCTATCTTGATTTACTCAAGTATATGAGGTGCAGAAAGTCTGCTGCATTGTTTACTAAGAGCCAGTTAAACCTCACTAAAATAATTTAGGAGCTCTTGTGGTAAAATCCCTGATGAAGGCACAGCAGCTCATTCACTCCATGTGTGTTTAAGCCCATTCATCCCCCTCACTCACGTTTTTGTTCTTGGTGACAACGTTCTTGAACAGCGAGCGGTCGATGACGGCGTTGTTCCTCTTCTGCATCAGGTTCAGCCCGTAGAGGGTGCGCACCTCCAGGTCGTCGGGCTCGTACTGGGGATCCATCTGAAAGCCACAGAGAGCCCAGTAAAGCACTTCTGCACCAAAACCTGCACTCTGCCAGTCTTCACACAGAGGGGAAAACATGCACACACACACAGAGCCTTCCTCAGGAATATCTGGAGCTGCTTCCTACCTGCCTCAAGCCACAGCTCCCAGCCCTCTGTGGCATCCAGAATAGTGAATTTGGAGCTGCTTCCTACCTGCCTCAAACTACAACTCCCAGCCCTCTGTGGTATCCAAAAACAGTGAATGGGATTTTTTCCAAAGCTGCACTCCTGGGGCACATCTCCACCCCAGCTGGAAGCACAATTATTAATTTACACCAGCCCAGGGATAAGGTTAACTGGAACTGTGATGCTGCACTCAGGTCCACTCATGCATGGCCTTACTCAAAATTTTGGGAGCCCTAGCTGAGGTTTCAGACAGGAAACAACCCAGACTAAGGTGACCAGCTCTAAATAGGAGGGTGCACATGCTCTATGTGGTTTGCCTAATTCACTGAAATGTTTCAGACCAATCTTCCTTAGCTTTGCTCTGCATTCAGCCCTGAAGATACAGGCTTCACAATGTGACCTCATCCTTGAGAAGTTAATTGAATTCCAGGAGGTAATCAGCTGCCAAGACTGTCTGCAATTCCATTCCTTCTTGCCTGCAGCTCCTGAGCCATCTTCTCCAGCTCCCCTGGCAGCTACACTACAATTGCAACCTCAGCTAAGCCTTGGATTTTCCTTTTGTGATGCTTCCTTTTGTGAAGTTCTCTGCTCATTTGTCTCTCAGAGGCAGCAGAAATAGGCCCTGACAGCAATCTGTGATCCATGAGTCATGTTCAACAAAACTGGGTGAATTTGGAATCCCAACAATCACTGCAGGAACCAGGAAGGCAACCTGACACTGACTTGAGCACAGAATGTTAATATTGCTTGACAAGCATGCAGGTCCAAAGTGTCTGTTTCCAGCTTCATCCCTGACTGGAGCAGGGGTACAAACCTGGAGCACACAGTAAGCACCATTCTTCTTTTTGGAAAGGATTTTGAGAGCTTCTTCCTCATAGCCAGGAGCCACCACACCATCAGACACCTGCAACACAGACATTTCAGCTTCCACAGGAGAAAAATGAAACAGGGGCTAAGCTAAAGCTGCACCAGCCATTTCCTGCACTGAACACACACCTCTCTTGGGGTCTGAGTGTATCCTACAACAGTAAAAACACTGTTACAGTGTGGGCTTCAGTGCTGGAAACAAAAACCAGCAGAGCATTGTGAGCTCTTGCCAGAAGTGAGTAAAAAGCACCCCTACATCCCTCTAATCAGAATGGAACTAATAATATCCTCCTCCAGGGGAAAACAGCTTGACCATGACATCCCCACTTCTCAACCCTAACAGTAAACATGGCTTAAAACCCAATAAAATCCTTAATTCAACAGTGACACTCCTGGGCAGGCAAAAACCCTGGAACAAGAGCTGTTAAGAGCATGGAAACTGAGAGTTTACATTCTTCAGTGCCATGAAGCCATACACAACTTCCACATTCGTGCCTTACAGTGTGGGTGAGAGTTTTTTAATTTTCAGCAGCACTGTACCAAAAGTTACCCTCACAAACCAGCTGAATATGCTCTTTCATTTGTTTGGCATCATAAAATCACAGAATGGTTTGGTTTGGAAAAAGCCATGTCACTCCATCCTCCTGTTGTGGAAAAGGACTAGAGCAGGCTGCTCCAAACCTAAAAGATTCTGTGAGTCTAAGGAAAAAGCACAGCCTGGGAAGTGGCTGAGCTGCATGTAAGTGGCAGGTAGCAACCTATTTCCAAATTCCTGCCTTGGGCAAGGGGCTGGCCATCAGCATTCCAGCCCTTCTTTTCTCCCCTGACAGCTGCTCAGCCAAATATTTGTGACAGCCTAAGCAGGGCTCCTTTCCAGAGGTTTGCAATCATCTCCTGGAAAGCAGCATTGCCAGCTCTGCTGTTTCACAGGCTCCAGCACACAGCCAGGTGATAACTGGTAGGGAAAAAAAAATTTAATCAAAAGACTGGTGTAAATTCTGCACTCCAGATCAGAGATGATGACACAAATGACCCAGTAAAAGTCCTCCTGGTAAAATGGGCCAATTTCCAACCAAAAGGCTGTCACAGAGCCATGGCTGCATCTGCAATGATTCTCCTGGATAGCCTGGAATGATGTGCTGCTGTCACTGACCTCTCTGGAGATGATCTTGGCAGTAGGCACGTCACAGACATCAGACAGGGCAATGAAGTCACCAAAGGAGGACATCCGATCAGCACCTGAAAAATCCTCATTTCACTCATCTGCCACACTTCAGCACCACACAAAGAAAACTCTCCACTCCTACAGTCCAGTCAATCGCTGTGACAGCTAGGAATTTAATCCCACAGCAAGAATAACAAAAAAAAGAGGCCATAAAAGCAACAAGGATGAAAAATCCTACCTCAAACACATGGACCTTTATATATCCCCATAGTTCAGATATTCTTCCTTCTTCACTGCCTCTGTCAAAGCTCTAACTCTGTAATGACTACCTCCAGCTGAACCCTTGGTGGCAGGAGGACAAGGAGAGGCAAGGATCACACAGAAAGATTTTAGATGGGAGACAGTTGGAAAAAGAGGAAAGCTTTTAGATGGCTATGCTCCCACCTGGCTTTTCCTGCAAGAAAGCAGATCCAGAAATGTGGCAAATTTTTTCTTCTTCTGTTTTAAAATAAGTATTTTCTATTTAATGGCATAGCTAAGATGAAATTTACTCCTATCACAAATGCTCCTCTACTCAGCAAGGTCAATTCTTCTGTCCCTGCCATTCTAAGGGTTTATTTTTCTGGCAATCATGCAATGGTTTTGTGAGAGCAACATTCAAAGGTGGTCTGTGAAACATGAACCCAAGCCAAAGTGCTCCTTATCAAGTCTGCCTTGTTCTTTGTAATCTGTGCAGATTTTCTAGGAATGCCGTGGAAAATAAGAGATGTAGCAAAATATCTCAGCTAAGCAGAGGAAGCTGGTTTTGTTTACTTTTTTTAGTGAGCTCTGCAGTAGAAAAGCATTTTTAAAAACCCCATCAAATAGCAGACAGAAACATCTCTACTCAAGTTAAACATTCCTGAGCAGCCCAATGCTGAGTAGTGCTGTTTATCCCGGTCCTTTAGTCAAATCCTCATATATATACATATATATATATGTGTGTGTGTGTGTGTGTGTGTGTAAAAATTTAAATGGTCTTCTATATTCATCAAGGAACAGAATCCAAAGTGGTTTTAGCTCTTTGAAACCGTATACAAGAGCTGCTCTCTTGGAAAGCAACTGATAGGCAGTCAGGAAGACCCTTGTGGAGGAGGAGTGTGGTGCCCAGGCAGGAGCAGGGCGGGAGCTGAGGATGCTGCTCAGGTTTGCCGTGGTTCTTTGGGGCCCTCACCTCTGCTGCGGGCGTAGGCCGAGGCCAGGGGCGTCAGGCTCTTGTGCAAGTCGTGCACCATGCACACGTGGGCCTCCTCCTCGCTGAGCGCAACTCCAACAGCAGCACCTAGTGGGAAACACGAGCCAGGGCACCCGGGCTGCCGAGCCTGCCCCAGGGCCTGCCCACACGCCGGGGGCGGGGAGCAGAGCCCAGCCTACCTGCGGGGCTGACGTGCTTGAAGGAGGCTGCGGCCGGGATGCCCAGCGCCTGCTTGAGCTCCTTCACCAGCTGCCAGGCGTTGAGGGCGTCGCAGAGGTTGATGAAGCCCGGGGAGCCATTCACCACTGCAAACACAGCACATGGATGTGTTAGAGCAGGCAAAGCCTCTCCCCAGAGCCTGGAGAGCCAGCACAAAGGGTTTCCCCAGAGAGCACTCAAATCACTGCAAACTGTTCTTGTTCAATAACCCTGGCTCCTCAGCAACTGGTGGAGTGCCCAGAAATCCACACCAAGAGTAAAGGCCGTTTAAAAGGCTGCTCTCAAAAAGTTTTGCTCTGGTCCTGAGAGAAGAACTGCTTGTACTGACATGGCAGCACTGTGAGCATTTCAGGAGACTGGAGGACAAAAGATCATTTCAACAATAATCCAGATTCAGCAGGAGTGAGTATAGCATTGCTCTGCTGCAATTCTGGGAGGCAGACTTGCAAGCAAATCAACCTGCAGTGCAGGAATGGAAAAGCGTCCTAAGAGGTCCCAGAGCTGAAATGGGGAAAATGCTGCAACACAAACCTTCCCTGCTTATTCAGCAGGACAATCCTGCACACATTGAAAGCAGTTTTAAGAACAAGAGCAGCCAGACTTTCCCTCACTACAACAATGCTGTGGCAAGTGGCACACCCTTGTAAAATGGCACAGAGACACACCAGACCCATCCCAAATTTTCAAGTGGAACTTGTATTCTACAAACCCAAGGTAATAACCCCCCCTGCTCAAATCCACCAAAGAAAGATCAAAAAAAGAACAAAACCAGTTCAAACCTAGGGAAAAACAGCTTGGTTTCTTGGTTTCTAGGCAGAGTAAATAGTGACACAAAAAAAATTGGGGAAGATACTAAGAAGAAACTTGCAAGCAGAAAAGCATCTTAAAAGGATGACGAGGTTTTTCTTTGCAAAATGAGGATCTAATGTCATGCAGAAAGTACAATACATAAATCTCTTCACAGCACCTTGGACACACAATCCTACAGGAACAGAGAACAAGGAGCTGCAATTGGTCTTGTGGGGCTCAACAAAGCAGCTTTTCTGTCTCATACAGCTCAACTTTGAACTGCAAAGTTAGTGCCCCTCAGTAATAAAGCAGCTGTGAAGACACTGCTGGCCATCCCCTGCACTAAGGTACAAGATGGTGTTCCAGTTTCCAAGGCCTGTCCAAGCATCTCCATTGCCAGCTCTCCCAGAGCCCCCTCCAGGGCAGCAGAGCCCAGGTCTCACCTGTCAGGGGCAGTTTGGGGCTCGTGGTGTAGAGCTGAGCTGGACTCTGGTGAGGATTCATGCCGTACCTCAGGGGCAGCTGCGATACCCCCTTGCTGTACTCCTTCCTGAAGTAGTCAGAGATGGCTGCATCGTACTGAGCAGTGTGGGTGAAGGCCTGGGGACACAACAGGGGACACTTGTCAGCTTAGACACATCACCTCACAGAGAATTTGGTGTTTAAAGGGGTACAGAACCTCTTTCTACACAAGTTTAGCCTGGTTCTTCACAGCAGGAAAGCGTGACCAACCTTGAGTGCCAGCAGGCGCCGGGTTTCCATGGCAGTGTCTCTGTCCCTGGAGGCTGCCATCTCTTTAGCTACTGCAGCATAGTCTGCAGGGTCACACAGCACTGTCACACGGGCGTGGTTCTTGGCAGCTGCCCGCAGCAGGGCCACTCCCCCTGCAAGAGAGGGGCACATGGAGCACTTCCCTCCTGGACACAGCACCGGCAGCAGGTGAGGCCAGGCAGGGACAGGAAGGGACTGCACCATGGCTCCTTTGTGCCAGATGTGTCCCTCCCTCCAGCACAGAGAGGGGTGAGAGTGCTCTTCAAAATGCTCAAAGCTGGTGGGTTTGACTCGACACTGACTGGGCTTGCAGACACCCGAACAGAATGTGGGCTGTGATGAGCAACTGGGGCAAGAAAAAGAAGATGGCTTAACCACCATCCTCTGCACACAGAAAGATTTGCTTCCACGCTGCCACACAACAGAGGCTCCCAAATGTCTCTGCAAATAATAATGAATCTTGCCCAGGTCCTCTGTGGGAGATAAAATGCCACACTTCTCCCTTCAGTCTGACTGCACTGCTATTGCAACTCTTTAAATCACACAAGATACCAGGCTGCTGCAAAGGAAAAGCAGAGGCTGGCATTGCTTCATGCAGAGCAAGTATTACTCCATAAAACATTTAATAGAGAGCTCTGCTGGGCATCATTTGGACTAAACTACTGCAAGAAAATCCAATCCCCATCCCAGCACAAGGCACAGAACTGTGCCTGTGCTGTTCACAGGCTGCCAAGCAGAGATGCTGCAGTGAAGGCACAGCAAGCCTTTGGGGTTAATAACTGGCAGCAGGAGAAAACATGCTGATGTCCAAAGCAGGTGTCCATGCTTCCCAGCTCAGGTCCTGAGCACTCTCCCACATGTTCAGACCAACCCCTTCCCTTCTAATGGCTTCCTGCAGTGAAGTTCTCACTCATCCTCAGAGCACTTCCAGTGCCTCAGCTCTGCTCTCCAAAGCTCATGTTTTTTTTCAATTTCTATTACACTGTCAGGCTGTAAAAGAGGTTTAGTCTGTTCTTTGTGTTTCAGCAGGAAGCATGGGCCACCTGGCCTTTCCTAGCACAGCCCTCAGGCTCCTTTTTTAGGGCAGGGCATGCCTTGCCAGCCTGTTATGGACGCTTTAATTGCTTCAAAGCAACGAGGCTCACCCAGCTATGCCTTCAGCCTGCTCCTTGCAGCTCCTGAGCAGACTCCCTTTACAGGTGTGCAAAGAACATCAAACAAAAAGAGAAGAGCTGAGACCACTCAGAGTTGAGAAGCATAGAGTCTGTCTGGAAAGCAGACTTTCCCTTCTTTACTTTCTTTCCCTTCAACTTACCAATATCAATCTTTTCCACTGCATCCTGGACAGTCACACCAGGAGAAGACACGGTCTTCACAAAGGGGTACAGGTTGCACACTACAACTCTGAGAATTGAGGAAAACTGGGTTACTCAGCAAGAAATCAAAGTGCCAAACTGGGCTTGGCAAGCACAAGATATCACCAGTGATTTCATGGTCTTGTCTGTCAGATAAAATCCTGTGGCCAAGAGTGGTGCTCAGCCCAAGGGCAAGCGATGGTACAGTGCTTTAAAACATTCAGCTGAATTCTGTGTATCAAACAGTGTCAGAGCCACAGCTTGCAGCAACCAGATTGAAGGAAAAGCTTCTTTAAATACATGTGCCTGAATATAAATGTTTAGTGATTTTGGTGCCCAACCTGAGCCATTTGAAAGGACTTCAAAATGGGTTCTCAGCAATACTGAGAATGGGCATCCACCAGTTCTCCAAAGAGTGTAAGCACCCAAGAAAGATCCATTGCAAACAAAGTACAATCTAATTTTCCACAACGTTTCCAAGAGCAGAAAATTACCTACATGTCACCTTGTGGACTTTTAAAATATCAACAATATATGAAACCTGAGTGTGCAGCCCAAATGCCATAAAGCTTCTGTTGCACATGAAAGTGGAGGAGAAAATCGACTTTTCCCTCTCAAGCTAAGACTGGACCTTACTGGAATTAGTTTTTCCATCTGATCTAGAAGCAGGTCTGTATTCCAGCAAGCATGATGTAATAATAACTTGCCTGTCCCATCCTACCAGAGCCACAGGAACTGCAGGGAGAGGAGGGATTTGTTCTGCCCTTCACAAGCAGGGTTTTTAATCCAAGAGAATTAATTTACTCTCTTGATCTGTGCACATGAAGGTACAGAACTCCAAGGCATGCTCAGCATGGCACAGAACTGCTGTGATGAGTACCCTTGTGTCCAACTCACAACATTCCTTTTTTCCCACTCCCTGTGAACTCCAGTAGAAGGGATGAGAAGCTTCCAGTATGGATTTCAGAACCCCCCCATGTCTCTAAATTTCCTACAATGTCTTTTATTGTCTCTTGTGTTTCTGATGTCCCCTTCCCCCTGATCCATTTGTGCTCCTGACCTGTTGCAAACCATCAGGAACCTGTGGGCTTTAACACTGCTAAGGTTTTATTTGTGCAAATCAATATCAGGCTTTCCTCCACTGACTTGGATATGCAAATTTTATGCAACTATGCAAAGGCAGTCCTGCTGAGGATCAGCTACTTCTGCTTTTTGCAAGTGAACCTGAATCCAAATCACCAGTCTGGATGCAAGTGCACCATAAGTCACTGATGTAAGGGCACGTTATTCCCCCTGCAATTCAGCAGAGCCTGCTTTAATATGCAGCATGCTCTGAAGAGCCACCACTGCTGAGCCATCTAAGAGGATTCCTGTGGTTTTAAATTTCAGGTTTTCCAATTCAGCCCAGAAATCCATCCATCAGTTTCTAACAGTAATTTTAAAAACTCCAGATGCATTCTGGCCCACAGTTGTACTGCACCTCCCACCCTGGCTATACCTGCAATTTGCCATGTCCAGCTCAGCCATTTGCTTCTGAACCAGGAGCTACTCCCTGATGTACAACTGGTTATTCACAAGCAGTAGCTGGATGTTAACACCAGTTAGTTACACACAGCCCCCAGCTGCTCTGTGTGACTGAACTAAGTAAACACATTCTAACAAAAACTGAAATAAACACCCAAAACTTTGCTACATTAGTGCAAAGTAACAAACTTTGTTACTTCAGCTTCTGGAGCAGCTCACTTGCTCCCAAGGTGGCTCTCAAAGTTGAAGTTTTCTGTCTCTTATCTGTGTGTTTTCTGTCTGAACAAACGCAGTGTTCCTGACCCATTTTCCATGTCTATTCTTTATTTATGTGTTGAAACTCAGTAAACATTATGCAAATATCAAAGGGTATATTTACTAAGCAAGCATTTCAAAATCAGGAATTGCCATCTGATCAGACATGTGGAACCAACCTGAGAGAAGATGAGGCAGCTTCAAAAGCACTGAACTCAACTCTGCAGCACGTGTAATGTGGCCCTACACTGACTGAGTGTAACGTGTCAGATTTCCCAGGGAACCAGCAGGAATTCAGACCTCCGAGTTCCCTGTGGAGATCACAATATAACTTTCTTGTTTCAGCTTTCTCCTACTACAAGTGGAGAAGACGATCCTGTAGAAAATTATGTTTTTAAATACACAGTTTTTCCTGCCACGGCAAAGAAAGGATACTGCAGAGCTGCTGGTGTGCAGAGGTCACAATTCCTACTGCTCCTCTTCCCTCTGCTGTTGGTATTTGATTATCAATGGATTGCATCACATCCCTCCACATTTACCTTACAAGGCTGAAATCCTGTTTCTTCATATCAGCATTATCCTCTGGAATATTGCGAGCCAAGATGCCTAGTTGCAAAAAACAGTGCATCTTCATTAAAAAAATAACTAAATAATAACCACCAGGTTTTTAATGCAACATCTCCCTTCACACTGTGCTTTCGTCCTCAGCCTTTCTAGCTTAACTTTTTCATTTTAGTTCAGACAGCACCCTTGGGCCTGCTCCTTTGTTCCACTTTACAGTCTTTGGCTGTTTAAATTCCATGCTAACAGGTGGAATGATAAATCCTAGAGTACTCCAAATACTGAGCAGCAACCTCAACAACTTTCTAAGCACTCGGCTGCTACCCTTCAAACACTGAAACCATCATCAAGGACTTCAGGGGAGAGGAAAGGGCACCTGCCCTGTGAGACAAGGGAAGCAAGAGAGGATGAGCAGTGCTGGTGGGGTCTAGGACTCAGAGAAACATGAGGGTGACAGGCTGGCACAGTGTGAGGAGCAGTCCTGTGTTCAGGATCACAGGACATTGTCTCCAGCCCTCATGGGCAACAGGTTCCACTTGAGGTACCTCAAGCACAGCGACAGGAGAGGGAAGAGCAGATGGATTAATGTGCAGGCAGAGCAGATATCAGAGATCCTCCCTGCTGGAGAGGAGGCAGAGGCCATCAGAGCATGCAGGAATCACCCCTAAAGCCTACACTGCTGTGTTGCTTGTGCTGCATGCCAGACCCACTCACAGTTAAACTCTGTGCAGCTGACTCTGCAGAGGCATTCACAGAGAAGCTCTGTTACTTACAGCCCCAGGGAGAGAGCTCTGCTAACTGCAGACATGCCAGCGTTGCAACAAGGAGCTAATTCAGCCACCCTGCACTTCTGCAACCCGTGGCTTTCCACCTCTCCTTCTGCTCCTGGAGCAAATCTGCTCCTGGTACTTGGTTCTTCCACACAACCTTTAAAAAGGCATCTGTCACCCTCTCCTTCCCACCCTCCCTGCCCTCTTTTAGAGTGAAAGATGCCTTAGCAGAAACTTACCAGCATGGACTGCAGGATGAAGGGTTTTCACACGCCCACCCAGCATCTCAGGGAAGCCCGTCAGGTCTGAGACATCCCTGCCCAAGAAGAAAACAGCACATGTGCCATTCTGACTTTATCTGCAGGCTGAATGACCCACACCCAAGAAAATGTATGGATTTCACTACAAAATCCCCCTATGGCAAAGGAGCAACAACTGCTTTTCCCATGGATGGAAATGGAGTTCATGGGTCACACCCAACTAAGCAGTACAGCTTGAACACACTGGAATCACCAAGGTAAGCAAACCCCAAATCAGAATGGTTTACGGAGAAAATGGAAGGCCATGTGGAAGTGCTCTTCCTTCCAGCTTAGTTTCACCACTCCTTGTGACTGTTTAGGATGGTCATAACAACAATGAGGGAAGGGGAAATGTCAGCATCCTTTGCTTCAGGCTTCACTGACAGCACAGCCAAGGAAATAAGCTGGAGACACAACCAAGGGCTGGGTAGCAGTGAGCTCTGGAGGTGATGTAGATTTGTGCTGATGTGTCCCAGGGGCCAACCACTGTGCTCACAGGGAGCAAAAACAGAGTCACAGGCACCTGCCCTGCCAAATAACTGACTTTTTTTCATCACTGCACTAAAACCCATTTTTATTTGGCCAGAGCTGTTTTGGTTTTTTTTTTGTAATCACAGCATGGAAGAAACCAGAACAAATTTCCCCAGAATCATGGGCTAAACCAGCCAGTGACTGTACATGACCTTTTTCCAACAGTGGATGTGCAACTTAGAGCCTTTAGGCTCTGTCTGCTTTAAGTGAATTGTGCTGGGAAAATTATTTGTGACCAGTGAACTCCAGTGAGCTTCAACATGTTCTTAACACATCAGTGCTGTCCCAGGAGCAAGCAAAGATCAGCTTCACCTGGCTGTAAGGAGCAGCACTCAGGGCAGATTATGAAAATCAAGGTAACTGATTGTCCCATGGAAATAAAGTTGGCTCAAGGCAGATAAAGAATGCCAACCAAAAGCTCCTCACAGTAATGCTCCTCAGCCAATAGATATGTAGACAAAAAGGTTCTGAAGTTTGCTTTGGGGCAGGGTTTTCTTTTTTTGTCGTTGTTTTTGAAGGGAAGACTCCTTTCAGACCAGTTTTCACTCATCTTTGTTCACAGAGAAAACAATTTAAGCAGCCTCAGGGCCCAGAAGAGCATTTTTAGCGGTGATGTACAGGGGTGTGTGTGTACCTGACCGGCAAGCCAGCATCCCTGAGGGACTTGGCCGTTCCTCCGGAGGCAATCAAACCCAGGCCGAGCGCGTTCAGGCTCTTCGCAAACTCCACCAGGTTGGTCTTGTCAGAAACGCTGAGTAAAGCTGGCAGGCGGGAAGAGCACGAGCGGTTGAGTTTTAACGGAGAAAACAGCAGGATTAAGCGAGTAAATTCAGCGTAGTGTAGGAGTTGCGTAGTTTAGGAGTTTACGCGGGGCCAGGTGCCTGGGGAGGGGACGGGGAGCAGCACCAGAGCCTCGCGGTTCCCCTCAGGGGGAGAAGCCGCCCCTCAGGGAGGCCATGGCCGCA